CTAAACTCTTGAATTTTCTGGTCTGTGGAGTCACAAATATTTTTGTATTCACCATGGTCCTGCAGTCTTGGATACTTATCACTAAAGTTTCTTCCCTTTCAGCCGACATGATGGGCTTACTATAAGAAAACATGCCACAATAATACAATTTTTTGTGGGACTTAACTCTACACTTGAATCCATTTAGTTTTTCAGTGTTCACTATTTGTAGAATTTTCACTACTTCTGGTTCTCCCTGTACTTCTTGGTTGCGTTGACAACGTGCTCCTGCATCATATACCAGTATATTGGAGGGGTCTGAGCAGTCATATCCGACTACTCCGAAATTCTCCTCACCCTTTGTGGGTACTACCAATGCTGCCACTAGACCAAGTAACATCAGAGGGAGTGTTGCATTTCCCGCCCTCTTGACTGTTCTGGCCCGTTCTCCGCCTCGAAGCTCTAGGCTCACCAGCCTGGCCAACGTCTTGCCCTTTCTGACCTGCATAAAGATATCGTTATTGTTTATCGTATACATGGATGGGGAACGTAGTGCACCTGCCTGGGGTGAGAATTTGGATACCACTAGGTTTCGTTCAATGATTGTATTTAATAATTCTGGAATTAAAAAATCATTGTTATTTTTTCTATTTAAATTATCAACACTAACTGGTATCCATTTTTCTTGCCTTGGCTGAATCACTACTGTTTTTTCTACTTTTGCACTTAAAACCTTTCTTTTCCCAATGACATGAATCCCACCCTCTTTTCTTTTGTCAATGTCGTCTTCACTGTCCGTCCAACTACTACTTTCTTCTCCTCTATCCCTACTTTCTTGTCTACTAGCTGATCTATTTTCTACTGAATATCTTGTCCTTCTGTCAACACAAAGTGACTTATTAATTTTGATACTCCCTGGCTGGTTCAGCTTCTCCAACGAAGCTGCTCTGGTCTCCCTCGACCTGCTCCTTCTTCTGGTTGATGGGGGTCCCATTCTTTGAGGAGTGTTTTCCCAGGCTTCATTGAGTGCAGACTTGATTGTTTTCACTGTTGAAGAACCTGATCGTCTTAATGACTTGGGTACTACTGGACGTGTCCTGCTCCTTGGTGTTCTTGGTCTTGGGGAGGGATCATATTTTTCCACTGGTTTTGTTATTCTTCCTGATCTTCTGGTTCCTGATCCTGATGATCCTGTTGCCATCAACTGAGCTGTATCTTCTGTAATCCTTAATTCTGGTCTTGCATCTTTCTGTTTCTCAGGTTCATTTCCCTTTGCTTCTTCTTCTGAGGCTGCGGAGGTAAACTGGTCCTCATAGTTGTTTCATCCTCATCCTGTAGTATCCCTGTAAGATCTACTTCTTCACTGTGTTTCATCTGTTGCTCCGGTGCTTTGTTGGTTGATTGATTGATTGAGTGATTGATAGACTGATCTGAATCTCTAAACGATTGATATAGATCGTGATCGTCTTCAGATTCTTCTTCTCAGAGGTCTTCTTCTGAGGATTGGCTTCTCCTCTCAGTACTGTTGCTGCTGTTACTGTTGTTGCTCCGCGTGTTGCTTCTGATTGGCTCTGTTTTGTTGCTGACACTCTTTTCTCATGTGATACTTCTAATCTGTCCAGTTGATGAATCATCATCTTGGTGTTGGCTCCTGTGGTTAATGTCTTTGTAGAATTCATCAACTATATCATCATTTACCTTACAAGGCAAATTAATTTCAGATAATTCGTCAGCCAGCTGTAACATATCTTCTTTTGGTAATCTTGGCAGGATGAATATGGGATTATGTTCACGTTCTCCCATCTTCTTTGTCAACCTGAGCTTGCTCACATGAGCGTCATATAGGCAAGGTTTGTCCACATTTAACTCCTTGATTCTAACCATAGCCTAGTTAATAATTTCTGTGATCTGTAAAGGGCCAGACCAGGAGATATTAAGCTTTCTTGAGTTTCTGACAGGGGGAAGTACTGCAGCATATACCAGGTCGTTGATTTTGAAGTCTTCAATTGGTCCTGTAAATGCCTGAAACTGGCGTCTTATCCTCGCTGCATCTTGTCTTCTTAAGTTAATGATCTGGTCCAACTCCTCATCTCTGAATTTAGGCAGCAAGGATAGATGAGGCAGGTTTGTCTCCATTCCTAGAAATAAGCGCCCGGGACTGCATAATGTAGAATGATGTTGAGTAGCATTATAAGCCAAAACTAAAGTGGGCAGGGACTTTTCCCAGTCTAGGGACCCATTGACTTTTTTTGCTTTTAAAAGTGCCCACAATGTCCTGTGAAATCTTTCTACAGGGTTTGATTGATGAGAATATGGGGTACCCACTTTAATTTTTACATTTAAACTACTCATCATTGAAACAATTGTGGAATTTTTAAACCCTAGTCCAGCGTCAGTCCTGATTTTTATCGTTGTCCCGTACAGTGCTATCCAGTGTGTTAGAATTGCTGTGGAGACTGTTTTTGCCGACTTATCAGGAATAGGGACCACTGCACAGAAACAACTATGACAGTCCATCATTGTAAGAAGGTACTTGTTTTTATTTGACGAAATTGTAAGTGGACCCACGAGGTCCATGCACAAGACGTCATTGACGTTTTGTGCACAGTCCTCGAAAGGTAATACATTTTTTAAATTTACCTGTTCTCTGTGCAGACACCCAGCACATTCTGTGACAAACCAACCGGTATCATACCGCCAACCAGGCCAGTACAATACCAGTTTTACCTGTTGCATAGTTAGTTGTACTCCCCAGTGTTTGTGAGCATGTACACTGAGCAGGGCCTGATACCTGTGCGAGGGAGGGACGACAATCCTCATTATTGGGTTGGTTTCAAATTCATCCTCCATTAAATAGAGTAGTCTGGCCTGTTTATTTACCTTTCCGTCTGTAATTCTTAATTGTTTTCTTACCTTGTACAACTGTAACACATCACTGTGCAAAGTTTCGAACTCATTTGTGTCAATGTTTTTATCATCGACTCTACCTGTTTTCTTGTTAAACCATGATTTAACTAAACTGATTGATCCATCCTCCATCTGTGCTTTTTCAAGATCACATTGATCTATGGCAATTTTACCTTGTATAGCTCCTATGAGGGGGGGTCCCCTCCCTTCCATGCCGTTATTACCTGATAAATGCCAAGGGAGCTCTATCTGTGTACATATTTTACCTGTGCAGGAGGGGGGTATATATTCCGAAATATTATTTACCTGAATATTTGCAGTCTTTCCGCCCCTGCTTAGGGGGGGGTATATATTCTGGAATATTACTGACCTGAAGATTTGCTGTCTTTCTACCCTTGCTCCTGGGGGTATATATTCTGGAATATTACTCACCTTAGTCCATGGTAGAGGGTACAGCTCTTCCTTACCTTGTGTTATGGAGTCAATGCACGAGGGTGAGGGTTCATCCATGTGTTTTGCTCAACTAATGAGATCTGCATTTGTGTTAAACTTACCTGCACGGTGTGTTACCATGAAGTTGAATTGTTGAATGTAGTTCAACGATCTGGGTACGGTCCCACCCGGATCTTTCATTGTAGACCAATGCAGGACTGTGTTGTTGTTGGTGATGACTACAAACTCATTCAACCTTAAAATATGAGAATATTTAGACAGACCATATGTGAGAGCCAACATCTCTCCTTTGCTACTATGATAATTACGCTCATTGGGCCTACACTTTACACCTTTACATCTAAAAATCTTTCAGCTCCTTTCTGTTCCTGTGACAGTACAGCTCCCACTGCATTCATACTAAAATCAATGGTTAGGATGAACGGTTTAGCCCCCGGAGCAAAATCTGGGGGGGCTCTGCACGGTGCTGCTACAAACATTTGTTTAAGAGTGTTAAAATTTTCTATCATTGATTGAGACCAAGTTAGAACCTCATCTAGATTTGCAGTAATTGTGGCAAAGCTGGGCAAAAATTCCCTATAATATCCACAAAAACCCAAAAATGCTGCAAGCTCTTTTCCTGTTGTAGGCAGGGGCCACTCAGTAATTTTATTTACATAAGAAGGCAAAAGTGTAATCCCCTGCTCCGAGATTAAATGCCCCAAGTACTCGACCTCCTGCCTAAACAAATGTGTTTTGTCAGCGTTGATTTTTATCCCACTCTCCTGATGAGCCTGAAAAACTAATTTAAGCAATCTAAGATGATTATCAGGGTCACTGCTGTGCAGAAGAAGGTCATCAAGGTAGGCAAGGACTCCCTCCTCACCCAACATATCAACGAGGCGCTGAACTAAACAACAATAAGCAGCCCCTGCAGTTTTAAGCCCAAAGGGCATGCAGGAAAATTGCCAAAGGCCAAAGGCATTGGGGAATGCAATTAAAGGGCGTGACTTTTCTTCTTCAGGGATTGCATTGTAAGCATTGGATGCATCCAATGTAGAGAAAAATTTAGAAGAACCAAGGAATTCTAAAATATCACTGATATGTGGGGTGGGGTAGGAATTGGTCACTGTGACCTTATTGACCGCAAGGAAATCCACACACCAGCGTATCTTGCCCAATTTCTAAGCGACAGGTACCAAAGATGATGACCAGGGAGACTTAGAAGATTCAATAACTTTGTCATGAAGCCAATCCGCTAATTGTTTTTTCAATTTATCTCGGAGGGGGNAATTTTGAATGTTTCCCAGGATGTTTTGCTCTCATGACAAGTGTCATTGGTAAAAACATCCTGATAATCATTCAACATTGTATACAAATTTTTGCTGATTTCTGGAACTTGTTTTATAATTTCATTGTTTTCTAGATTTAAATCACCCACAATTTGTCCGTGACTTCTAATTCCAGGTGTGACCGCGTTAATAACTACATCTTTATGCGTTTTTTCGACCAAACACATTGCCCCATGAGCTATAACTTCCTCTGGCGTTAAAACAATGCAATTCTCTGGCAAGTTACAGTATAAAATATTTAGATACTTATCCTTCTGTAGGTTTTTGTGTCTGTAGATGCCCGAAACCGCTCCATCCAGGCTACCATCGTCCACAGGTTGGATATGTTGTATAATGTATTATACTTAATACACAGTAAATATTAATACCATATTCCATATATACTTGTTGCCCCTTTTTGCTCTGTTTGTAAACAGTGAACTGCACTGTTTACAATCCTACCAAACCTAACTCCGCGCAGTCAGTTAGATCCTATACCCAAACAATTTATCAGGTATAGATTTATTTTCGACTAATAGTGTTCTTTGGTGAAACTATCAAGATAAAAATGATTATTGAAATAGAAAGTATGAATTCTTATTCAAGGTATATATTGTAAATCTATATTTCCATTACTTTAGAATTTGGTTGAATTATAGTTGTCTCTGAGGGCCGAATATTGCTGGAGTTTGGATTGTTTCCGATATCCTGCAACAGCCTCTGTACCTTAGAGTGTTCACTCGTACACTCTATGGTACATGCTCACCTCCCCCCTCACCAAGAACAAATAGAGCAAGACTATACAAGTAATAAATGTTTTTATATCGTTAATAAATGTTTGCAGTGTAATATGTCTCTTAATTATCATCATAACTCCAAGCCAAATGCACTGATAGTTTGGTAGGACTGACTCGTCTTTTTTGTATAACACCCTATTGGTAGTTTATACTACAATTCTGATAAATTTGGTGTCCCATTTGATGATATTAAGTGCCTATTTACACTAGCATTTAAAGGGATTGTTCAAGAAACACCCTAGATAGCTATAAACCAAAGGGACTCGTCAACCCTAGATAGCTATAAACTAAAGGGACTCGTCAACCCTAGATAGCTATAAACTAAAGGGAATCGTCAACCCTAGATAGCTATAAACTAAAGGGAATCGTCAACCCTAGGTAGCTATAAACTAAAGGGAATCGTCAACCCTAGGTAGCTATAAACTAAAGGGACTCATCAACCCTAGATAGTAATAAACTAAAGGGACTCATCAACCCTAGTTGACTAAAATTAAAGGGACTGTTCCCTGATACTAAAGGGACTGTGCTTTATAACCTTCCAACTGTACATTGAAGGGATTCAACATCTAAGGGATTGTTCACAACTTCCTTTAATTTTTTAAAAGGCCTGTTTATTCTGCAATGTAATTTCTAGCTCTTTATTGCAGGGATACATTGCAGGAATAGATTTGTGTGCTATAAACATTGTTAATTGTCCAGTTGTATGGAAATTATTCAATCTAGTTTTGTACAATGTACATCCAAGCTCACTATCTGCAAGGATACATTGCACACATAAATTAATGCTGTATTGAGCAGTATATTGTATTTTAATTATACCATTTATATGGCAAATTAATTACTATAGTTCTTATTTGTATATACAATGTATGTCCAAGCTCATTATTGCGAGGTTACATTGAAAATATAAATGCATCATTTGAGCACTGTTTATGTTTTCCAACTACTTGGAAACTTGTTATCTATGTACTCTTAACCATATGTGACCATGTCTAATATGAGAACTCGATCACAAGGTTTATCTACAGCTAGTTCTGATGGTGTTCTAAATCCAGTTCCTACTCCAAGAACAAGAACACCAACTAGTGATGGTCTTTCCCAAAACTATTCTCTTCAAAGACCTGTATCTGTTATTGGTCGACTGATGGATAGTGTGTCTACCTCATCAACATTGAGAGATGATGGGGAAATTAGCTCTCAAGATTCCCTTCTCAGCCCATATGTTCCAACTCCTAGAGCAAGATCAGCCTCTACTTTTGATACTGCAGCATTGACTGATAAGGAGCCATCCTTATCTTGGGACAATCTTGGCCTCAGAAACCAACCTCCATGCAGAATGGTGGAGAGAGAAGTAGAACCAGAACCAGAGAAACCTCCTGATAGAAACCTGGAGGATTTACGGGATCAAATCAAGTCAATGAACTCTCAGGTTGAGAAAATTGCTGCCTATTCTCAGAAGCCTTTGTCACAAGAATCTTTCGACCAATATTTGTTAATTCTTAACAAGGTGCGAAGTACTTGTCGATCATTGATAAATCAAGATGATGGTTGTTATGAGCTTCCTCTCACTAACATTTTAGATTATGCAACCATTGTTGTAGATAATATGAAAGTTGTGTCACAACCACCCACCAAGGCCACAAGAAACCAAACCCCTGTTTCATTGGGTACTGATGTGGAAAGTGTAAATCTTGAAAGTAGCTCTTCAATGGATTACTTGGCTGCTAAAATTTCTGAGATTTATGTGCATACAGACCAGCAAATGTCACGTGTAAGACAGGAGCTCCAGCAAGATCTAGCTAAGTATATTTCTGCTGCTGAGATACGTATCACAGAGCATGTGCGTGCTGCAATTGCTCGTGAATACAGTAGTATTGGAGCTCGGTGTATTCAAAACAGAAGTCTTGTAATTTCTGAAATAAAGAAACTAAAAACTGATTTGACTGAAATTCGGTCTTCTTTAGATGAAAATCACTCTGAAAGAGATGAGTTTAATGATAAGATTGAGTGTGCCTTCTCTGAAATGGAACTCTTTACTCAATCTTTTAATGATGATGTAAAAAAGGTTGAGGTTTCAATGAAAGAGATTAAGAAAACCCAAGACAGATTGATTAATACTTGTAAGAAACACTCAGAATTAATTAATCAGATATCTCAGAGAAACTATGAACAAGTGGATATTAACATAATACCACCAGGTCCAGATGTTGAACCAGCCCAGGATGAAGCTCAAGTAACTAATGCCCAACTCCCAGCAGCAGGTTTTACATCTGAAATGAAGCAAGTTAATCCAACACTGCATCCTGTTCAGGTCCTGGTTCCTCTTCAAACTCCTCAACAATCTCAGGTTGTACGAAATGAAGGTTATCCTACTGTTGATGTATCTTCATCATTGATACAGAGATCAGAATTTCAGCAAGAAAATTCTGTACTTCCCGCTGGAAAAAACATTCGTCTGAATTATTGTCATCTGATAGCTCTGTGAATAGTGATAGGACAGCAAGACTCATCAGAAAAATCAAAGAGTGTGAAAAGCTTATTTTGGAAACAACCAGCATGGATCTTGATCCACACACTGCAAAAAGTGCATATTGATTTCAGCCGTGCAATTAACATGATGTGCAATCTATCGCATTTTTTGTGAGAAACTGCTCACACTCTTTTGTNTTTCATTCCTGTATGATGGACATCTGTTATGGGTTTAAGGGCCAAGCCTACAAGAGAGCCAGGACGATTATCAAGGTATATGGATTAGTAATAGTATGTTTATTATCCGGAGCAACGAACATCATGGCCCTAGAAGGAATTGAAACCCAGGATATATGCACTGCATTGGAGAGGCATTCCAACAGGTATGGAGTCCCTGGGTATATCTACATAGACAATGGAACCCAGTTGAAAGCTCTACAGTTTGCAACTTTCTCAATCAGAGATATAGAAGCTCAGGTACAGGATTCTCTAGGGATAAAAATAGTAGTATCCAATGCCAAAGCACATGCAGAGCGTGGTCGGGTAGAGAGAAGGATCAGAGTACTGAGGGAGACCCTGGAGAAGCTAGGAGTTCAAACTTCAGTTCCTATGACATGCATGCAATGGGATGCATTATTCTCTAGGATATCCAATACTTTAGATAACTTGCCTTTAGCTAAAGGGGATACTTCTAATGTAACTGCCCTGGGATATGATATCATTACTCCCAATAGGCTGAAATTGGGGAGAAACAATTATCGGTCTTTGGAGGGTTGCGGAATTGATTTAAAGATGAGCTCTAATTTCACCAGGTTATTAGATCGGAACCGTAATATTTACCGGTGCTGGTATCAAACCTTTGTAGATAATATACATTTACTTAACTTGTGCCCCAACAAATGGTTGCGATCAGGAAGATTACCTATCATCAATGATATAGTTTTATTTGTGTTCAATGATGGGGCCTTCAGTAAAGATTCCGTTACATGGAAACTGGGTAGGGTTTCAAGTCTTAATACAACCAGTGTTTGTATATCTTACTTCACCAATGTTAATAAAGCTGAGCAAACAGTGACAAGGAGCTTTAGGGATATCAGTATTGTATACTCTGTTGGAGAAATGATGATTAATACCCTGGATCACTTTAATAGTCATGTTCAAAGAGTTAAATCCGTGGAGAAGTAGTTCTCCGGGGGGTTTTATAATACTGATATTCAATGTTTGCTCTTGGAAGGGGGGGGGGGTAAGTTTTATTGAACATGATTGGTTGGTTGGAATCTTTGATACACTTAGTGGGCACAAGTTTTACTGTACAATGTATATAATTATATTATATTTTAGTTCCTTGGATACTGAGGAGCTGAGGAAACGAGTCAAGGAGAGGTTGATAAAGCAGCGGAGCAAGGAGTCTGATTCTTCTTTCTCCCTGTTGATCCCTCAGGAAGGAGAGAAGGTCTGGGGAGAACAAAGGAAGGCGAACAAAGTAGATATGCTGAGCAAGTTGGTTGGGTACAGACACCGCATCAACACCAAGAAGGATAACAGTTATATGACAAAATATCTGACAAGAGTGGATTTGAAGGGTCTGGACAAACCTGATTACATTAGAATGAAAGAATTTCTTCCCGCAGATGCTCCTCTTCTGGATTTTCTTGTGGAAGATACTAAGGGTCTGGATGGATGGAAATATCCTAAGCTGAATGAGTTACTATTCTACCAGGATAATAGAGGATTGAATCTAAAAATGCTGGAGGAGATTGAGGTGAGAGAATTAGTGTGTGGAGTGAGTTCAGAGCAGGAGATAGATGAGGTTCATGATTGGGTTACAACAATGTACCGGAGAGATCAAGCTACTTTCGGGACCAACGTGATCTCTATGGATGTTGAGGACGTGAAAACTACGTACTACGACACTCTAAGGATGGCTGGCAAAGTAAGGATTCAAGATAAAGGTGAGGTTCTCCGGACTAGGAAGGAGACTGACATGCTGCATGGATATGGGAAGGATGGATGGAAACAAATCCCTGGTAAAATCATGTTTGGAAACGGGGTTTCCTGGGTTTGCATTGTATCATTAAATCTGTCAAGGAATAGGAGAGGTGAATATATCCTGAAGAAAATGTCTGTTCAACCTGGGATTCTAGATTTACTCCTCCCTGTGTCTACTGGGCTTGGAGTCCGGAGAGATATACGGGGAGTGCAGGAGTTTTACTCTTTAATATCTGGATCCGAGGTGATTATGGGGCAAGGATTTGTGGATTTAACATCCCTTGCTGTACTTGCAGGATATAAATTCCATTCAAAAAATATGACTGCCATGGGTGTGCAGATTATTGGAACCCTGCTGAACAAGGTTGTGTCAACTGGAGATGATTTATGGGGTCTGAGATGGGCTGAAATACCTGCTGCACTTCAGTGCTATGCCCTAGGAGATATAAGATTCGGATTTATATCTTATAATATATTGGCAGGATTACTACTCCGTGATATATTTCCTGATCCTGAAATACTGTGCAGGTATCTGGATGCTGATCAGCTTACTGCTGTCAACTGGTTCCTTGATTGGTTAGTTATATCTCTAGAGGGTGTGGAGTATCATCAAGTTGCGGAGGAGAATGCTAGTACCCGGGTGGAGATGATTGAGTCCTTGAGAGCTAGAGATGGTCGGGATAAGCTAGGTTTGTCTCCTCCTGTGCATATCCAGCTCTGGACTCAACTAGTGGGATCGTGGCCTTCTCCAACGAACGGAGGTTGTAGGTTTTTGATTCAGTGCAGAGAGTGGCTCCTGGTACAGATGAGAGCACTAGCTAATTCTAATATCCAGTGGAAGGATGGAAGGGTAATCAAAGTACCCACAGAATCTGATTTGGAATATGCTCGGTTCGGTCTGACTCAAGATCAGTATGAGGGTTCTTCCTGGTCAGTCCCTGTATCTGGGAGCAGAGGATGGATGAGAGCTCCAGGCATGGTGGTAAAGGGATTAGATGTTGATATTAGCACTGTTAGGAGCTCTGATATTGGTGCTAAATGTACTGCGCTGGGCAGGTCCCAGCGATGGTGTCTGCTAGAATGGGGCAGATTATACCCGGAGAAAATGAGATTTTTCTTTGTTAGAATGGTTCGAGATATGGGATTCCGCTTGTTCTATAAGAACCTGTATGATGCCATGAGGCTTTGCTTTCTCCGGATATTTGATGAACTGGCTCCAAAAGTGTCTCGTGTGGAGTTGGCATTGAACCAAGCTGTGATGAAGACTCTGGCGGAGGAGTCTGCAGTGTGGGAGAGGTCCAAGATCGAGACCAGAATGAGGGGAGAGCGGGTAGCCTGGTTGCAGGGTTTGTCTTCGGATTGGAGTCTCAGGGAGAGGACGAGGTGGAGAGAGGGGATTCCTGGTCTGCCTGAATGGAAGAAGAGAGTGGGACGGAAAAGAACTTGGTCCAAAACTAAGTCAAAGCCTGGTAAGAACCAGAGGAAGAAAATGAAGCTAGCTGTGAGGTCTAAGGAAAATGTGACTGTGAAAGTTGCTGCCTGTGTTCCTGGTGATCCTGGAGTTGATTTGCCTGGTCAGGGTCCGGCTCAGGCCGTATCTGGGGTGGTTAGTGGAACACCAGACCCGGACAAGGGAGAGGGAGGTGTTGGAGATGTGGTTCCGGAGGAGGGAGTGGCTGGTACTGTTAACAGGAGAGCTAGGATGACTCCTGTGCGGAGAAACCAGGGTGGAGTTAGGTCTGCTAGATCTGATGCCTGGAGATTCCGTACCTATGATGAGCTTATTGAGGAGAAGGCTGAGATTGCTTTCCCTGATGATCTGGAGTTTAGTTTTGAGATCCCTAAGGAGGTTGAAGATATAGAGGTTTAGGATTGAGGAATTGCCTGACCTGGGAAGCTGTCAGTATCCAGTGTTTTTTTTTGTGTTTTGTTCAATATATATTGGTTTTTTTATTATTTATTTTACTCTTTGAAAGTGTACTGGTTGTTGAACCATGGTGGTTGTTTCTCACTGGCTGGTTTGACAAACTTGCAGTTCAAAAGGGATTTTGGTTTTTTTTTCTTTCTGGGGTTGGGGAGTGTTTCGCGACTATTCTTTAGTCTCGAATTGTGTGAGAAACGCCCCTGATGTATTGATGTGTCGCCCCTGGAAGTTGATCAAGTGTTCTGAGAAATTGCTGCGTACTCTACACAAGAAACCAGTTTTATGTTGTGTTTATTCCGTTGGTACTGTACCTCCTCAGTGTGACTGTATGCGTCGAGTGATAAACATATATTCGTAGTTTTTTTTTCTTTCTTTGAAAATGTTGCTTGAATGCACGAAAATGCAATAGAATTTTCTTATTTCAGAGAAAACGTTTTACTACTGATAAATCTGATAAATCTTGAGTTGATCATTAGTTTTGCGAAGGGTCACATTGAGGTACGAGTATCATGGTTTTACACATTCTTTTTCTATATATATTTATGTTGTGCAGGGGGAGCCTTATCACAGTCTAAATTTTGTTCCTGGTCCGAAAATATATAAAGGACGGGGTCTTCCTTGAAATGTACAATGTTCATACAATTTTTTTGTTCTTTTTGATATATTTACTCGCATTTATCCTTACTATATAAATAAAAAGTGGTCTTTCTCTAGATTGAACTACGGAAAACAGACGCTTTGGTTTTATTTCTGAGTAGAGAGCAAGGAAAGAGTAAAACAAGGAGTCTGGGTTACAATCGCCCTGCAAAACTATGATTAGGTGAATACTAGACTTAGTATTTTTATTTATTGAATAGGAAAGAGAGCATTTTTTGGTTGGTTATAAATATGCCGCTTTACATTCAATCTCAATACTCTTGGGGTGTGTAACCTTTTGTTGAGTATAATAAGTCATGTCCGTAGGACATAATAATAATTTAAGGGGGGGGGGGAGGAGACGCTCAGCCTCGGAAAGTGATGGGGATGTTATGAGTAGTACTTTGAACCCCGTTAATCCTTCTGTAACCAATAGAATATCCAATATCAATAATGATAGATGCATTTCTTCTCCTCATATTAATATTTCGGGCTTTATTGATGATTCCTACCGAAATAATTTGGGGACCAGGCTTGAGACTAGAACCCAAACAAGATCTAAAGGGGGTTCTAACTCAATTGATGGGAGAATGAGAAATGAGTATACCCGTATTAAAATATCTGTCTTTGAGTGGGGGGAGATTGCAACTAATACTGTACAGCCATTACGTATTATTGATTCTAAATACAATGAGTATTGTACGGAAATAGAGCAATGTATTTCTAAGATTTTGTTAGCCAGGGGGGATTATGCCTTAATTGGGGAATTCGGAAGCATTAAGGATAGACTGAGTGTTATGAGAAGAGAAGCCAGACAATTCTCCAGAGCCCACCTACAACAAGATAACCGTCCTACACCTGATCAAAGCTTACAAAACCCACCTACCGGCTATAACACTAGGAACTCTAATCTTGATAACGTTTTTGTGGAACCTCCTATTAACCTTAATAATAGTCTGTCCAAAACATTACCGTCCTCTACTTCTAAAGAAAGGGGGGGGGTAGGGTAATCTTTCCAGAATAGACTTACATTCGGGGAGTCAAAGCATTAGAACTGTAATGGCTTCTAGTACTGAACCCCTTACTGAGGGTGCAGGCTTAGTTAGACATTCTACTCCCGATGATAATGTTATCGGGAATCCTCAAACTAGTGCTATTAGTATAGATTTATCCCAATCCCTCACGGATATCATGGCTGGGATACCTGGTGTCCACACTAACCCTGGAGTAGGACTAGATGTTATTTCTACGTGTACTGACTCTTGGTTTAGTATGATAAGGTCTCATCAGATTAAGCAGGACGAAAGGTTAGAAAGCTTGCATAATACTATCCTATCTTTAAATCTTACTATACAGGGAGCCGAAGCTATGTACACTCGTTCTATGGAAACTCTGGAGGATTTAAAGTCCAATAGTGATGAGGTCTGGAGACGTTTAATGAAGGATGAGAACAGATTAGATAGATTAGACTCTGAGGTTGAGAGAGTAGAGACGATGGTTAATGATAAGATGAGTATAGTTCAGGAATGGTTTGCTGATTTAACTGATCGTCCCATCTCGTAGGTCCCTTGAGAAATCGTTAATTCCATCCAGGAAATTATTAATGATAGTGCTCCTGGTTTAGCTGTTGATTCCATGAGAGAGGAGGTTAGGGAGCTTAGACAGACTGTGACTTCCAGTAAGCATGCTACAGAGGGTCTCCATAATATTGTAGTTGATCTATCCGAACAAATAGCTAACAATTCTGTACTCATATCTCCTGATTCTGGATTCATCTCACCTAGAGACAGTAGAGTAGTTGAGAATAATTCTAGAGAGTGTGGAATAGTTAGAAAGGGCATAGAAAGGTTGGAAAAGCAGATAAGACAGCTGACTCAGGATATTATGGATACTGAACCTGTGGATATCTCCCTGATTAAAAAATGTAAGACAGTTGATGTCCCCTGTGTTCATGCTGCCGTAGGTAATATTCAGAAAGCATTGCAGAAATACGTCACTTTCTCCGAGATGGATGTAGGATACTGCGATTACATTAATGATCTTCTTGATACTGCAGAGAACTGGTGTTTAAAGATAGAGGATTTGTACAACCGTGCTGAGATACATAGTATTAACACATCTAAAGGGGATACTGCTGATGTTGGTATTTTTTCGGATAATGCCAAAGTCACAGTATATGAATTTTTAGAATCAGCTGAGCTTGCATACTTGGGTTGGGGCAACTCTGTACAGAAAGCAAATAGATTATACAACCGTCATTTGTCTGAAGAAATAAAAGGAAAACTTATTGATAAATCTGATTCCTATTCAGAAATGAAAAAATGGTTAATCCAGCAATATGGGGGGGCATCCAGGATTATAAATGATATTATCAATGATTTATCCCTCCGTCCTAAGCCTAATGCAAATGATAGTAATGCAAAGTTCACTTTTTACGCTTATATCTCCGGTGCTCTACAAAGATTAGAGAGACTGTCGAAGGTAAATTGCATAGACAAGGTTGAATTAGAGAGTTGTCTGTGCTCTAGAGCTACCCTGAGCAGTTTATCCCTGGTCCTACCAAGCAAGACTTACATGAAGTGGATATCAGAGATGACAAGGAATAATCTGGACTACAAGAACCCTGCTGGGTCTGCTGCTTACAAGGTTTTCAAGAATCTCTGCATCGTAGAGAGAAATACTAGCGAAGGTTCCAGGATCCCGGAGAAACCTAGCTCACCCAAGACCAAACCTAGATCTCCTAAACCCAAACCTAAATCTGTGTATAAGATTCAAGAGAAGAATGAGTCGTGCTCTTATGATGAACAGCAGCCTAGTACATTTGCTACTACATTCCACAACCAACAGTGGTATCCACCTAACTTGAAGTTCCCATGCCCTATTGGAAACCACAAGCATGAAATGAGCACATGCTCCGAATTTTTTTCATTAAATCCTGTGGAGAGATGGGGTAAGATGGATAAAGGAAAGATCTGTTATGCTTGTCTACTCCCTAAGAATGTGTGCACTGACAGGAAATGTAGTTTTGAAGCTTCTATCCCTGAAACCATCAAGTGTCATGGATGTGCTCCCTGGGCTCAATCTAAGAATCTGGCTCCTTTCAACATTTTATTTTTATAAGACTCAATTGCTGATGTTGTAAGAATTTACTGATTTTGATGCTTGCAAATATAAAGTTTAAAGACAAAATCAAAGTAAAATTATTCTTTTTAAATTTTTAATGATAATAATTTATTGACTCTTGCGTCTAAAAGACGTCTTCCTGTTTCACAACTATATGGGTATCAATGTTTACCAAAAAAAATATTCCTAACTGTTTAGAATTTTACCAAAATCTCAAGTAAAGCTAATATTAATTTAGTATTATGATGACAGATTGTTTACTTTCAACTCTAGCCCTAGCTGCAGGACTGGCACGTTCTTGATCCAATATTTTTAGTTTTTTTGCAAGTCCTGGGTGGCTACAAAATCACGAACGATAATTTTTCATTCTTCATTATTTAAACCTGACAAACCAATTTTTGATGATTTTCAGCGTCAATAAAACAGTATTTAAAAACAAAATCAAGTGATTTATTTTTTATTTATTTGCAGAAAATGAGATGGGGTATAGGCTTACGGTAAAAATTATCGATGGTGATTGCTTCTAATCTTACTTCTATCTGTTGCAGATATAAGGAGAAAATTGTTAAAAACGACTCATACCGAAGATCTGAGCGTCCATGCAAATTCAGAAAGTTGCAAAATTTGAATCAAATCGTAAAAAATCAATTTAATTCAAAACAAATAATTCAGATAGCATACAACCTATAAGCATCGATGACTTTTCGACGCATCTGTATATAGTTGATATTTCATAATATTTTTTACTTTTTCATATAAGATGCATCATGCACTTTAAACAACGATTTTTTTTGTCGCTAGGTGTCGTTGGCGTCTCTTCAATGTGGAACTCCAGAAGCATCGAGAGTAGAGACACCTAGCAGACATAAAAACCTCCTTTAAAGTACATTGTATATGTTTAAAACATGACATATATGCAGTATGCACTCTTTAAATAAAATGGTTTTCCGTCAAATTTT